GCCACCTCACGTCAGGCGCTCAGCACCGACTGACCTGCCAAACCCCATGGAGGGTCCCAGTCTGCCCTGGCCCTGTGGGACAGGATTGGAGCCCTCACAGAGGCAGGATTCGGTCACGACGCCATCTAAGAATCCTGGTGCCTGTGAGAGCGCGGCCGCAGGGCAGGAGCTGCAGCCCGCACTGACACCGCTCCGCCATGGGCCCTTTCTTCCCAGCGCCGCCGGCAGCAGCGCGGGCGCCCGGCACGGTGCTCCTGCCAGGATGGAGCCTGCGGCTCTGCAGGTTGGGGCTGCTGAGCTGAGGGGCCAGCGCACGCACTGGGAGCGCTGCTGCCGGGCGGGCCTCCTGTCAAGGCAGGTTGAAATCCCGGGGCCTCCTCCCTGCCCTGACGTGTGGCTAAGGTTGCCCTGTGGGGAGAACCAGGGCTTTCCATAGCCCAGCGGTCCCCAAAGGAGCCCTGCGCTGGGCAAGGGGACATCCCGCTGTCCCTGCAGACACCAAATGGCGCTGACTCCTGCTCGGGGGGATGCAGAGCTAGATAGAGGTGTGGGCAGCGAGGCTGTGGGAGCAGGGCGAGCGTCACAGGCTGGAGGCGCTCGCAGATGTGTTGGTGCTTGGAAAGGGGCGGTTGCCCCTGCATCCGATGGGCACCTGCCCTTGACTGGTGCTTTCCCACCACAGCACCTGCAGCTGGGACAGGAGCAGCGATGGCGCAGGCTTTCCCACCATCGAGGGAGGCTCAAATACTTTCCATTGCATCGGCCTTGAAGAGTCTTCCCCATTGCTGTCAGAAATAGCGCTGGGCTGAGAGCGGGCTATTTGTGGCGAGCGTTTAGGCCAGAGGAATGTGAGGAGCAACCCCAGCCTCCTGTCCACAGCTGCGCACCCTCCCCAGCTGCTGAGCTAAAGCTGAAAAAATCTGAGCAGCTGAACTTGGCAAAATGCTGTTTAAACACGGCAAATCCCCGCGAGGTCCCTGGTGAAAGGGCTCAGGAGCAGCGCTGTGCCCCCCGCCTGCACCAAGGGCCGGGGTCTCTGCCTGAGCACCGGCTGTGCTCAGCTCCCAGACTGGCGGGTTCAGCGCTGTCTTGGGGCCCTGGGGCTGC